ACTCTTCTGTAGTTACATCGTGTACTAAGACCGACGGAAAATGAAAAGTTGCGATTTTCTAGGCCGATATGGCTAGGAACTATACTCTCATTCCGGCGTAATAATCAAGGAACTTTGCTGCCGTACCATGGGTGCAGCAGGCGCAATGATATTACGCAGTGCCTGAAAATAGGCTTATTGGAAGTTACCTAGCTAGGACAATTTTTCGGCCTAGAAAATCGCAAATTTTCATTTTCTGTCGGTCTTAGTACACGATGCAACTACAGAAGAGTGAAGTTTTAAATGGGAAAAATACAGAAACTCTTTGGTCATTTTTGAGCGAGATGCTAACGGTCTAATCAGATTCAATGATCTATGCTAAGATACAGCTAAAAGTGCTACCGCCAGACCCGGAGATCGGCTGAATGGATTCGAAAACGGTAAAACTCAACTGTTTAACTCTAGGGGAGTTGGAAAATTTTGGAGTGTTCCTTTAAGATTAAATTGAAATCAATATTTACCCAATTTACTTTCTTAACACTGAAACCTGACTTTTTAGCTTAACTTTTAATCAAGACAAAGTTTTCTTCTTAAGTGACAATGTCATTAAGACCATAAGATAATTTTTTTTACCAAACTTGCACACATCTGACTACATTCTGGTATGTAATGGATAATTTTCACATTCCAAATCAATTTAAACTACTTTCTCCTCATCGAATATCCTTATTCAATCAGAAGTACATCACAATAAAAGGATTCATGTTGACTTGAAAGCTAGAATGCACTCTAAAGCAGTGCTGTTATAGTTAACTAAAACTAACTTTATTTCAGCTAATTGCCAATGAAACTTCTCATTTTCATTTAGTTTAACTTTATGAATGAAAAAACTGAAACTAAAATAAAATTTTACAAACTACATGAAAATTACAAAATAAAAACGAATAAAAATGACAAAAACACAACAAAATGACTAAAACTTTAAAATTAAAATTAAAACTGATTCAAAATATTAATAAATATATAGCAGTATCGCAATGATGCTAAAAAGCTGCTCCAAACTGACACTTTTTAAAAATAAATAATTGATAAATTGTGAATAAATTGTTTCACCCAGAAATGAGTCACATTATGGAAGTTAAACGCATTGTGAATGGAATTTATGCTCCAAACTGACACTTTTTAAAAATAAATAATTGATAAATTGTGAATAAATTGTGAATAAATTGTTTCACCCAGAAATGAGTCACATTATGGAAGTTAAACGCATTGTGAATGGAATTTTATTTGGCCTTTAATTAATCCCTGATAATATGTGCAGTAACGATCTACCTTTGGTAACGATCTAAAGGTGAAGCTGCTACAGTAAGAGTGAGCAGGAAAAGGGAAAAAAAGAGACCTTCAAAAGGAAGAAGAGATTGCTGAGGCAACTCAGTAAAGAGAGCAGGCCTTTAAGCATGCAGTCATCCATTTCCTCAAACTGCAGCGGAAGCCAGGGAGAGACAGACAAGTAGACAGACAGACAGACAGAAAAGCTCTACAGCTAGTGATAAAGACACAGGGACAAAAGCATAGGGGTTATTCGCATTAGTGCCATCAGGAACAGTCTATATGCTGTTAGCACTGATCGGTTAAGAAAGATTTGTTACAGAAATGCTAAATAGCTACAGCTGGGGAATTAAATATTTTTTTAAGTTAAAATGTCCTGTGTCAGTCAGCATCTTGTAAAGTGTAACTAGTCTAGCTAAACCTACAGGTCAGTTTGTGCTGCTCTGAATGAATTGGATGCATTTATTAGTCATGGCTGAGTGGTATTAAAGGCTTACCTGGATTTCTTTCTTATACTGATCCATATCTGCTAATTTAACTGCAGTCTCCTTTTCCAAAGCATTAAGCTGTTCTTTAAGCTTTCGACAGGTAAGATCCTTCTCTTCCACATTACTCTGTAAAGTTTTCACTGTCGCAGCTACATCAAGAAAAAAAGGAACAAACAAATACATACAAATTGTTGGAGCTCTCTTAATTACAGGGAACAAAGTTTATTATTATTATTATTATTTTACAATTCAACACATCAGTCATGCTTAAGGTTTTTTTTGTCTTTCACAATTCCAGATGCTTGTACCACAAATGGAAAAAATGTTTAAAATAGCAATACTTGGGGGAACATAATTGGCCAAAAGTGTCTTACTAGGGAGATTGTTCAGATTCAGGTTGCGGAGTCTGTCATTGAGTTTTTGCTGTTCTATGGTTGACTGTCCCAACTTTCTCTTAAATTCCTGCAAAAATCGCATACAGGTCATCATGATTACTACTATGCTCTTGTGAAGCAATCTGCATCAAAAATTGAGATTTATTAAGAATAAGTGGAGTTTCAGTATATATTTCAGTATAAATTAATAAACCGATTTAATTTAAATGCATGTAGACACATTCATAATTCATGTGCACTATTTTGGATGCAGCAGTCAGACCTCTAACTGTTTCTGCAGAGAGTTGATTTCTGTGATGCAGGAGTCTCTTTTCTGGTTGATCATTTCCAGCTCATTTTTATGGATTCTCTTTTTGCCTTCAGCATCTCGGAGCTTGTCAGAGATTTGTTTCTGCTTGTTGCCCTAAAAAGGGAAATCTCTTTTATCAAGCATTCTGACCATTTGAAAAAAAGGAGGAATTATAATAATTGTACATAATTGAAATGTGTTGTTAAATTTAAAAGTGCTTGGTTTCCCACATAATGAGTCTAGATGAAATGTGGTGATTGATAGCACAATGTCCTATAGCCTCACCACAGCCTCTAGCTCCATCTCCAGACTCCTCTTCTTGGCTCGGAGCCTGATGATCTCCTCCTGCTCCTCACTCTTCTGGTTTAGGACCTCCTGCTTTCTCCTCCTCTCCCACTCAAGCTGCCGCTGGCGCTCCAGCTCCTTCTTGGCTGCCTGTAAGGAACATCGTAGCAGTAGTCAGTAAAAATTTTCATGTTTTTATTTATATAGATTATTTTCCTGAATCTTTTATACCTGTACAAACCTTTTGGGAAATGTAATATTTTGGTCAGAACCTGAAATGTTATCACATGGTCATCCTCTCACCTCCTTCCTCTCCAGCTCTTTAAGTCTCTCCTCCTCTCTTTGTCTCTCCAGTTCTCTCTGTCGCTCCAGTCTGAGCTCTTCCTCCCTCTTCCTCTTCAGCTCCAGCTCTCGTGCCTCCCTCTCTCTTCTCTCCTGCTCCTCTCTGGCCTTCTGTGCCCTCCTCTCCTCTTCCCTGCGCTGCTGCTCTAGCAGTGCCTGCCGGCGCTTCTCCAGCTCAGCATTTCCCATCTCCATATTTTTCTTGAACTTATCTTCAAAAGTCCCTAGATACACAGAGCACATATATAAATTATTACAATGAACTGGGATGTTCAAGCAGCTATTATATTTGATAAATATAAACACTTCTTTTTGTGAAATGTTTTTATACCAGTTTTTTTTTTTTGCCAATTAATACAACAACATTCATACATTTTTAAGAATGGCTTAAGTGTCTAAATAATGTTGAGGGGGGGAGGGAGGGATGTGACATGCTTAAAATCAGTAGGACGCAAATCACAGTCAGTAAGCACACCATAATGAGAGTTATTCAGTATTTAGGAAATTATTTATACCAATTGTTTCATGTCTTTCACAAATCAAATAATATTACACAATCAGTGTGCCTAAATAGAACACATCTGTTTAAACTCTGATACATTTTTTTTTTTTTGGGGTAAAAGAAGCGAGTCATAGATATCTGTATTATGCAATAATGGGTGTGGTGTAAAGCCATACAATTGTTCCTTGATTTCTGTGGAGGCTCAGACTCATAGAGGTCCTCAGCCAGGCCTGCATAGATTGAGGGAGTGGTTCCATTCACAGAGTCACCGAGCTTCCCCCTACAGGTATATATTTATGGAGAAAAACATTGAAAAAACCATTTAAGCAATTCAGGTAATAATTTAAAACATATTTTACATTCATGACCAATGTTTTGTATATGATTAAGTTTTCAGTCAATCGGAGATCAGGTTACAAACTAGTCAGCATTACCTCAGTGATGGGGGCACCAGCTCTGAAGGGAGTGCCATAGGCAGTGGCTGTCCCATTTTAGCCATGTCTACCAAATGCATGGCAAGAATAAACTCATCAGCCTTCAGTTTACCATCCTTATCCACATCAGCAAGATTCCTGACAAAAACATACAAAACATGTCATTAAATCAAGGCATGTAGCTAAATTTTTATACAATCTGAAATTTGATAACTTTAATTTTTCACTCATTTTTTAAAACAGAAAATATATGTAAAGGGAAAAAATAGAAAAATGCACAAAAAAAGCATTTTCAAAAGCAGTCTTTTGAACCCACCTTTACATACTTCATAAAATTAGTCCTGTCATAAATTAGCAATCACATGCATGAAGCTACTCTTGTGCAATGAAATCTCCCCCGAGTAAGATTTCTTAAAAAAAAAAAAAATGCTTTACGCAAGTACTGGGGAGGGCAAACACCTACCAGATGGCAGCTAGCTGAGTCTGAGAAAGCATTGTTGTAGCCATTACAGTTCTCACTTGAGGACCTGCAGAAATAAAAATAAATAAAAATTATATGGATGCTATTTACCATCTTCACAGAAAAGGATTTTTACAAGATAAAAACATTTAAAAGAGACATATTATTGTAAAAAGAGGCATATGTAATATAAGTCTCTGGTGTCCCCAGAATGTGTCTGTGAAGTTTCAGCTCAAAATACCCCACAGATCATTTATTATATCATTTTGAAAATGCCTATTTTGAGTGGAAGCAGAAACACGCTGTTTTTCGTGCCTGTCTCTTTAAATGCAAATGAGCTGCTGCTCCCCGCCCCCTTTTCCAGAATAGAGCTGCGCCACTTTTAATTTTCCGTCAGTCTTAGTACACGATGTAACTACAGAAGAGTCAAGTTTTAAATAGGAAAAATATAGAAACTCTTTGGTTATGTTTGAGCGAGATGCTAACGTTCTAATTAGATTCAATGATCTATGCTAAGCTACAGCTAAAAGTGCTACCGCCAGACCCGAATGGATTCGAAAACGGTAAAACTCAACTGTTTAACTCTAGGGGAGTTGGAAAATGAGCCTATTTTCAAAAATAGTGGAGTGTTCCTTTAAGGAAAAAAAATGCCTATTTGCTGTGTTTTATAAATGGTGACTTTTGTTTTGTTTTTTTACAACCAGCTAGTAAATACTGTTGCTGTACTAAAATAACTGGTCTGACTAGAGCTGGTTGATATTCACAATGCTGGAATCCTCCTAAACCATCAACGCATTACAACATCTAGAAATTCTTCTCACACAGAAAAATGAGCGCCCCTTCTCAAATTACGTGTAACAAAACAGCTTGCCTATGAGATGTAGGCAGAGGGCTTACACTTAATGCCATACATCTTTGAAATAAACCTCACAAAGTCATGTTTTACCCACTTCCTCATTCCTGAAAGTCTCTAGTACGTATGTCTTTGTCATGAGATATGTAAGTGATACAGACAACTGCTTTGCAGATGAGCCATATGGGTGTGGATTGCCATCTTAGTGCACTACTCACCTTCATCAAGTCTCTTAATCCCATATTAACCATAAAATCATGAGATTATCACAGTAATCACAGTGCAATTTTAAAAGTTTTGTCCCCAGGCATCATTAAGAGAACATATAGCATGTTAGTGCTAGCTGAACTATCCATTTGCCATTATTTGCACACTAGTAAGACAACCAACCATTTTTTTAAACCCATTATCGGTTTGATTCTTTGAAAATCATTTATAATTAAGTACCTGTTAGATAACCAATCATTTGCTTGTCCAGGCTGTTAAACTGCTGCCTATATTTGAGTCGTGATGCCTGTGGGACGGCCCAATCAGAAGGGCCGCCCTTAGGAGAGTTGCTGGCCAGTGATGTGGAGGGGGAGGAGTTTGAGCTGCAGACATAAGTACACAAGTCACTTTGTGTGCAGATACTATTATGTATGTAATCCTACACAAGAGGATTAATTATATACTATAAAGGTCCATGTGTGGAAGTTCCTGACCTGCTCGAGCCCAGGTCCAACAAAGATGGGTTCTTGTTCATTGGAGTGGCAGAGAAGCCCAGTGGAGAAGAGGAAAAGGAACTTGACACCGGGAGAGCTACGGAAAAAACACAACAAACACATCTTGAAAGAAAAATGTAGCCAATGGCACGCAATGGAAGAGACAGAGTGTACAAGCCATTAATGAAGGAACACATCATGCACGAGAATATAAGCCACAAAGTCATCATTTTGAGAGGGTTTAGGCATAAAGAGCTGCTTGTTAAATCAACATATAGCTCAGTCTTATAGGTACAGGCTGACACAGGAAGACTGAAGCAGAGAAAATGCCGACTGCAGTAAGAGCAACAGAGATCAGTATCATTTCACCTTTAGCACACCGTACATTCACAGGGGCTCTTGGCTTTACAGCATATCCACAATGACACAACACTATTATTCAAAAGTATGGGGTTGGTAAGATTTTTTAATGTTTTTGGAAGTTATGCTCACACCAAGGCTGTATTTTTTAAAAGTAACAGTAACATTGTGAAATATTATTACAATTTTAAATAAATATTACGTAAGAAACATTATTATCAATGTTGAAAACAGTTGTGCTGCTTAATAATTTTGCGGAAACCATGATTTTTTTCAGGGTTCTTTGATGAATAGAAAGTTTAAATAAACAACATTTATTTGACATAGAACTCTTTTGTATCATGATCATTTTTTATGCTATTACCTTATAATCAGTTTAATGCATTCTTGCTGAATAATTATATATATTTTTAAATCTCACTGATCCTAAACAGTTTAATGCTATGTAGTACTGATCAAAATAAAGTCCTGGAGTGTGACACACAATGAACCTGTGAACTGTCATAATCTCAAAAAACAAATGGCATAATTTTACTAGATTCAGGCTTCACTGGCATGTGGACCTTAGTGTCTCTTACTGGAAGTGAGAGGGATGGGGGTCGGGTGTAGAATGGCAATAGGTCCATTAGGCAGGGCTGGAGTGCTGATGGTGGGCATCACTGGCATCGACAGCCCTGTGCCCATCATGGGAGTCATGCCCGGCATGGGGCTCATGGTGGTCATTGGTATAGGGGTCAGAATGGGTACGTTCGGCATCATGGGTACATTTGGCATAGTTCCCATTCCTGCAAAAGCACAAAGGCAAATTCAAATGAACAATAAGAGAACAAAACGTGAGCATTCACTAAATATATTACTTGAGAGGTTTTCAAACCATTCCTTTTTGTAGCAAGTCTTCATTAGTTTGATGCTAGCAAAACTTTTTTACAAATATCAAAAACAAAAGCTACATTTTAAAGCTGACAAGCTGAGGACACATTTCTCTTGTACACTTCGAAGGTTGTGGTTACAGCCATCTGTTCTACATTACGACTCCACTGTATCTTGTGGCCATCAAGCTGTGCACCTGCTGTCATACGAAGGACTTTCATGAGGATTGAGGTTTTCCTAGCAAATGGGGAAGTGACAGTATTTTGCACTTTTGTAGCATTGGCTAAAACTGAAATCTACTTATAATGCTAATCAAGGGGTCTTTTTCCACCAAAACCAGTTGTAACTTAACATTAAACTGCTATTGTACCTTTAAAGCTTAAATTACCTCTACATTACTGACCTCCATACAATGCTGGCCAGATTGCTGAACACTGAATACTGATGTTTGAGCGGCATTCATGTGTGACTGCGGCCGGTCATGGTAACAAAAGAGAAAATTTGTCCTGTTCTGTATTGTGGTACATAGTAAGGATAACAATTAGATTAACATTAATAATCTGTCGTTACAATAGTAAACTGTGTACCGATTCTCATTTTTGCTACAGTGTAAGACTGTTATAATCCCAATGGCCTCTCAGATCGTTGCTCGGCTGGTTATAGTGTAGTTTGGCAGCGTACCGAGAGGTGTTGGAACTGGCACAGGTGGCTGCTTCATGATGATGGGCAGAGCTGGAGGAAGATTCTGTCCCTGCAGTTTCATCTTGATCAGCTTCATGGCTATAGAAAACTCCAGCCGGTCCATCCTACCATCTTTATTCATATCAGCCAGGGCCCTGCCATACACAAACAAAGCAATCAGGGCCAGACTTCTCCATCAATTTATTTTTTGTAATTAATTTTTTATTTTTTTTAGTTTGTACATGGTCAGGATTTCTTACCAGATCTCAGCTAGCACAGACTGGGGAAGCCCTGACTGAATGATGAAGTTTCGTGCCTTCTCCCCTATACACAAAAAATTATATTAAAAAAATAATAAATAAATAAATAATAATAAAATAAAATATTTTGGTAAATCATTTCATATGTAGTACAATGTAAATTAATTTGTATATAAAATTAATTTCAAGTAATTAATCTCTTATTAAAATGTTTAAATAAATAATAATATTATAATTATAATAATAAAAAAAGTTTTTAACATCTTAATACATTTTAACAATGGCTCCCCATTACATACCTGTAACAAAGCCCTGTACTGGCGAGAGGGAGTCAAACTTCTGATCATGTTTGTCCCTCTCCTCTGGGGATATAGCCCAAATACTCCGACCACCTTAAAAGCAAAGTAGACAAAAAGAATGAGGGATGAAGGTGAGAGAAAAAAAAGAGAAAAGAAATAAACTACTAATAATGCAGGCAGATTCAATACTCTATATTATTATAATTGAGCTACAGTGGGCTTTTGCATAGTCAGGCTGTTTGAATGATCTATGTGGCACATCACTTTTGTCTTTCGGCGCAAGCGTACAATGCAAAGGCCACAAAAAAAAAAGAAAAGAAAAAGTCACACTATATCACATTCCAATTTGCATTGTCTAGGTCTGACTTTATAAAACCCAAACTGCATTGGAACAAGATTTAAGATGAAAATGTTTACATTTAAAAAAAAAAAACAATTATTACTTTAGTCAGACTGAAATTTAACTTTTAATGTGCATTTAAATGCACTTAATGTCACCCTGATATAGACCTGGGCGATAAAACGGTATCGATATTTATCGACGGTACACCTTCGATAATGATATAAAAAATGTTCGATATAGTGCACGATATACAGGTGCATCTCAATAAATTAGAATGTCATGGAAAAGTTAATTTCAGTAATTCAACTCAAATTGTGAAACTCGTGTATTAAATAAATTCAATGCACACAGACTGAAGTAGTTTAAGTCTTTGGTTCTTTTAATTGTGATGATTTTGGCTCACATTTAACAAAAACCCACCAATTCACTATCTCAACAAAT